AGAAGCTCGATGTTATAAGGGATCATATATTTGTTTCTAAAGGTGGCCAATTGGGTTGGATCAATACTAGAACGAATTTTGGTTGCCCCCAACCCACACCATCATCACCCCGACGACCTCCCCGATGTCGAGGCGCCTCTACCAGCCTCAACTAATCTCCTAAGATCAGTCGTACTAGTTATCCGAACTCCTAGTTCATTAGCCACCTCAGTCACATCTATATCATCCCCGGTAGAAGCAGAAGAAGCCATAAATGCACAAACAATACCAAAGTTCAAGAAATCAATTACTTACAAGCCAAGAAGGGATTCTTAGAAGCACGAAGTGAACAAGTCGAAAAAAACACTTGGAAATATATTGACACGAGAGATTGCAGAATATTCAGAAGGAAACTGAGTGAAGGCTTGAGAATTCTGAAAAGGTAGGAAGTTGAGATTCGTGCAAAGGTGGAAAGGAATTCTCTCAAAGTTTTTCGCCTTTTATAGAGGAGCCCACTCAACCCTGATCATTGGATCTCAATCCTAATCATCCACCCATTCATTCAAAGGTTTTAATCTGAGTCACCCATAACATCTAATGCTTCGTCTTCAGGGGCCCAGATCTAAATGTGGCTTGCACGTACGCATCTAAATCTCATTAAGGAACGTGAGAAACAACCATCATTGCGCATTAAATACGACGGCTATTGCGTGTGTTGGAAGTTGTACTGCCCCAGCTGTTTCTCCTGGAAAGGTACCACGACTTCAAATCATTGAGGCTCCATGATTAGGATGCCTCGTATTTCTCAGAGTTATTGGAAAAATAACAAACCCTCGTAACTATCAATCCAAGGCTGTGTATAGCATCAGATCTTATCAACCTCTGAACTTATGAAGACACTCTGAAATATAGCTATTTACCTACCAAGTTACCTCAGATAAACTCCCATGAGAGGGTCTACATAGACCTGGGCGTCTCTCCTTCCAGAGATTACACAACGCTTGAAGTCCATGCATAACATAAATAATCATGCATGGACTTGGGAGACTATTGTTATCCCCCCATATCTGAGGTCCCAATTCGGACGCCACGTAAGCAATAGGTCCACGTGGGGCCAAATGCGCTACAAGTAGTCAACCAGTTACAAGAAATCCAGTAGGTCGGACACGCCAATGAAGACAAGTTACAAGTAGGCCAAAGTCCTCAACACAATTCCTGAAGTTATCGCACGATGCAATGAAGTCCAACCTGAAGCACCTCATCGTAGACAAGGCTCAGGCCCATCCGAAGCCTCCTCAACTCGTCCGGGGCTTATGAAGCCGACGCTGTCTCTTATAAAAGATTTGAAGATCTATTAGAGGTGATTGATGTAACACTTGTAATAAAGTTTGTCAATATGTCAGCCTGTTGTATAGGGCGGCCCACCCTTTATCAATGTATTAACTGTATGAATAGATAGTGATGTGAAGCCTTAGTTAGGGAGATGAGGCCACGTGATTCCAATCCAACGGTCACCACGTCGGCCAATGCATTATAAAGAGGTCATCTTTGTAATCGAGGGGAGAGGTTGGATCAATGATGGAAAAATGGACAATCATATATTCAAATATACACTTGAACTCTTGAAGAAAATATATGAACATTTTATCTATCATTCCACATATTTTTGTTTGTTATTACGTAGATTAGTTTGGTTTCAACTCGGGCAATCGTTGTTAGTTCGATTACTTTCGTTCCAC